TTATTTATAGATTTGGACATAACTGCCATCCCGCCGTCTGCGTGCTCTATTTATAGATTTGGACATAGCTATCATCCGCTGTCTGCGTGTTCTATTCATAGATTTGGACATAGCTGTCATCCGCTGTCTGCGTGTTCTATTTATAGATTTGGACATAACTGTTATCCCGCTGTCTGCATGTTCTATTTATAGATTCAACGAGACGGGCAGTGCTATACACAAGGGGGCGACTGAAATGCTCAAACTGTACACTCAGCTGAAAAAAGAGACCTTCGGACTCACACTAGAACCACCCGAGACGCCAAGAGAAGAGGTAAGTCATCCAATCAGATGATCGTGCTATAAATACAATCTATTAATAGACCGTCCCTTAGCAAATAGTGCGCTGGTAAAATTGGACCTGCGGACCAACACTCGAGCCTTGTGAACACAGAGAGAGGAGGTGCGCCATTCTACCAGGTGCCCCGCCAGGTGCCCCGCATGCTATACTGTGCTATTAATAAAACGGATAGTGTATGTTGCACTGTGCCATTATTAGATTGGATAGTGTGTGCTATAAAGTGCTATTTATAGAATGAATAGTTTATGCCATACTGTGCTATTAATAGAATGGATAGTGTGTGCTATACTATGCTATTAGTAGAATGGATAGTGTATGCTATACTGTGCTATTAATAGTATGGATAGTGTATACTGTGCTATTAATAGAATGGATTGTGTGTGCTATACTGTGCTATTAATAGAATAGATAGTGTATGCTATGCTGTGCTATTAATAGAATGGACAGTGTGTGCTATACTGTGCTATTAATATAATGGATAGTGTATGCTTTACTGTGCTACTAATAAAATGGATAGTGTGTGCTATACTATGCTCAATAGAATGTATATTGTATGCTATACTGTGCTATTGATAGAATGGATAGTGTGTGCTATACCGTGCTATTAGTAGAATGGATAGTGTGTGCTATACTGTTCTAATAATAAAACGGACAGTGTATGTTGTACTGTGCTATTAATAGAATGGATAGTGTGTGCTATACTGTGCTATTAATAGAATGTATAGTGTATGCTATACTGTGCTATTGATAGAATGGATAGTTTCGTAGGACCGGCTGCAGAATCAGACACCTTCGATTCTAAAGTGCGCTTCGAATACAATGTTTTACGTCAAGACAGCACTGTTTTCATATACAGCCGTACTCATGCAGACATAGTACGGTTCTAAGTTGGGCCGTGTATGTACATGAAAAATATATACACCACATTAACGAGTTTTAACCCTCCTATTATTGCACGCACACTCACATGTGTTCATATGTACACACATGTATGTATTTATCGTCCTCAGACACTCCTATTCATAAACTCGTCAGAATTAAAGCTGACAAAACAATCTCTATCAATCTCTAACAAATACGATGCCTATGTGTAAATAACCCCACAGGTATCACCTGTGTCCTTTAAAGCACTGAAGAAGTTGGCGAAGAACAGGGCACAAATATACGCCACAGCCAACACACCAGTCGAACGATCTCCCACCCCACCCCCACCTGAACCTCAGTCAGCTGCACGCACCAAGTCAGGCGGTAGGTTTTGTTGTGTGGTTTGCGTATTATATATATATATATATATATATAAACGTGCAGTGTGGTTCCTATGGTGTTGCAAAGCGCTATTCCACCGAATATGCAGTCCCGTTGTATTTGTGTCACCAGGTATGTGATGTGATGTTGTGTTGTGTTAATACTGTGTATTGTGATTAATCAGGTGCTACTGCGTGCAAAGACCATTGGATGTGTAGTCTTGATTTCACTTGGGTCTACGTGTGTGTGCCGTTATGTTGCTTCGAAGTAACGTGCCTACTCAGATGCTAAAACGTTTTATGGCCACCACTTACGCTGTTTGCTCTAAACATTTAACCTATAACTGTGTACATCCACTCACACCCCCCTCCCCCCCCCCCAACACACGCGTACATCTATACTGACACCCACCCACACAGCACACCGAACAGCCGCAAAGGTATCCACGAAGCAATCTACGAAACACTCGAGCAAACAGGACAACTCGAGCGGACAGGACACCCAACCATCCACACCTGAACCTAAGGGTGTAGACAAACCACCCAAGGAGTCTAAGAAGACCAAGAATACCAAAGATCTGCCTATCAGCGTCGCCAGAGATATGGATGCTGTGCTTGGGTTTGCCTACCCAAACACCTTTGTCGGCAAGGCTAAACTGACGGTGGCAAAGGGTATGGGAGTTTGTGAGAGCGTCTGTGTAGGATGGTGATAGCGTGAGGTCAGCCCTACCCGACACACCTGTAGTATACCGAAACGCCTATGTTAGTAGTGTGTTATTAAGACGTCTGTGTAGGATGGTGATAGCGTGAGTTCAACCCTGCCCAACACACCTGTAGTATACCGAAACGCCTATGTTAGTATATATATATATATATGTGTGTGTGTGTGTTATTAAGACGTCTGTGTAGGATGGTGATAGCGTGAGTTCAACCCTGCCCAACACACCTGGTATATTCGGAAACTCCTCTGTGGACAGTCCTAATGCGACAGTGCCAAAAGGTAGACACGTTTCTCAGATGTTCTATGAATTGATACTTTTCATATATTCTATAAATAGTTGCTTCTCAATATTTCAATACATATATGCTTCTCAACAATCCTACAAATAAAATGTGCGAGTCGGTCTTCCATGGTTCTCATCGAAACATGTGTAAGTCCAAGCGTTAGCAATATGTACATACCCACTCTGTAAAGCCAGTATGAAGATATAACTACTATCTTACCTACACCCTATAATTATACTCACATTCCCATATTTGGGGCGTGGTTCGCTATCTCCACCACCCACCCCTTCTCGTACACAGGGGATGAGCTCATGGCGCGTATTCGAGCATGCAAGAACGGCCCACGGGATGTGTGTGAGGCGTTTCAGTTGCTTCCAGACCCGACCGAGTACGCAGACTATTATGAAGTCATAGCTGATCCTATGGACTTAGCCACTATGCAGGCTAAGCTAGACCACTTACGAGCCGATATGTTGGCGGGAAAGGCCACGCCCAAGGGACAGGTGGGGCTGTGTGGGAGTGTAGGTACTTACCTGCATAATTATATCTACCATGTACATGTATACTACCTCTTGTGCTTATCTGAATCATACCTACCATGCACATGTACACTACCTTTTGTGCTTATCTATTTAATCATACCTACCATGCAGATGTATGCTACCTCTTGTGCATATCTATATAGTCATACCTACCAGCACATGTATACTACCTCTTGTGCTTATCTATATAATCATACCTACCATGCACATGTATGCTACCTCTTGTGCTTATCTATATAATCATACCTACCATGCACATGTATGCTACCTCTTATGCTTATCTATATAATCATACCTACCATGCACATGTATACTA